AGCTACTTTCTCTTAACTCAATGAGAAGAAAGATTTGTACTAATAGTTTTTGGACAGATTATCATGTCTGCATCTTGTACTATGAATAACCACTATGAAGACAACAATATGCCATGTATTAATTATTCCAACTCTACTAATCTGTTTTGAAACTGTCTCATTGCTATTTGTTTCTCAATAAAATGAATTAAAAAATAAGAACTAGTACTGGAAATCCAATTGAACCCAGCTTTCCCTTTCTGTGTATTTTCCCATATGAACTGAAAACATCATACCACAATGAAATATTCGCACCCGTATTTATAGCAGCACAATATGTGATAGCCAAATCTTGAAAATGATCAAAATGTCCATCACCTGAGGAATGGATGAAAAAGATGTGGTAGTTTTATACAATGAAGTATTACTCAGCTATGAAGAAAGACAAACTCAAAGCCTTTATTGGTAAGTGGATGGAAATAGAGGCTATACTCATAACTGAAATAAATCGACCCACATGTCCAAATATCATATAGTCTCCCTAGTGCCAGAACCTAAAGAAGAAATAGAATCTAATAACAGATTAGTTATAACAGATATAGTAAAACAGAAACAAATAGAACTTAAGGATTAAGAAATGAAGATGAGAGAAAGGAGTAAGGATAGGAAAAAGGCAGGGGAAAATACATGAAAGTATATATAAAAGATGTCTGAGGTGATTGCACTAAAACTTTCCAACGATTTTTTGAAAATAGAAGTCATTTGCAGATAACATGTTATCCTACTTGGGAGACCCCAAGAACTCAAACAAGAAGCTCCTAGAATTAATATACAAATTCAGTAACATAGCAGGTTACAAAGCCAATAGCCAGAAGTCAATAGCATTTCTCAACACAGATAATGAGTAATGTGTAGAATTTTCACCTTGATGAACTGTATGCTGATATCTGTGATGTAAGCAACTACGTTGAGGGCAGAAATGTGCAATACAAAAATCATGTCATCTTGATCTTCTAAATGTGTACCATTTCAAATATCATATCAATTATTATGATACTCTTTTCAAAATAAATTTTTAAAATAGACAAAAAGAAAAACAAGAGGGACAGAACGAAAATTTAAGGTTTCTGCAAAACAAGCAGTAAAATGCTATCATATGTCCATTTGTACATAACTATATCTGTTAATCTGAGCAACAGATTTGACAATAAAAATAGATAATATATCAACCATTGTTAATCAGCTATTCTTGTTCTAAAAATCTGTAACATATATGTTGTTGTATGTTACCATGTTTCTGTCATGGTTTCTGATTTTTGTTCTTGCTTTTTTCTTTTACTTTTCAAAATGAAATAATAAAATTCAATTCAATTCATAAAAGAAAATATATGCTCACAGAAGAATATATACCAAAATATTCACAGTAACAGTATTTATGATAGTCCATATGTGGCAGGAAATCCTATATCCATCAACTGGTAAATGAATAAAAATGCAATATGTCTTATGCCATAGAATACTATTCAGCTATGAAAATGTATAAAATACAGACACATACTACAGCATAGATAATCTTTAGAACTGTATTTTAATTAAAAAGAAGGATTTAAAGTGTTTGCTGTATGATTTAGAATGTAAAAGATCCAGAATAGTAGTTGACATGGACTAAAAGCAAAAAAAATGGTGACTATGAATTGGGAAACAGTTTTCCTTGTACTGATGAATGGAGTTGGAGAGTGGAGATAATTATGCAACCTTGTAAATACACCAAAAATCAGTGCTTATACACTTATGGGGGGGTGGAATTTTATGTTATGTGAACTCTAATCAGGAAAAGTTTTATTTTTTAAATGTTGAATCATAAGAGTAACAGCTCAGTAGAAAGATGTTTTATTTTCAGCTTTCTCATGTCTAGTCAGCAAGACCAATGGCTTGATTTCTTTGTCTTCATCACTTCCCCCAAGTATTTCATCCTTCCTTTCCTTGTAGCAAGATTGTTATATTTACCAGTAATCCCTGACCTGAGTTAGAATTCTGGACTTTCCAATGTTCATACGTGTTACATTTTCTATAGTGAACTGCCCACATGTTATATTTGTACAAAGAAAAAGTCCTTCCTCTAAACATGGGTCAGGCAAGACTCAAAAAACAGTCTGAGACCACAGAAAGAAAGGGAAATATTAGAGTGTAAGTTATAAATGGATAGATCATCTCATCGTTTCAAAATCCTTTCCTATAATTGCGAATACTCAATGAAACTTAGATATTTCCTCTCATAATCTCTTCTACTATGGTAGTATAATAGGATGGGGAAATATTTTGAAGTCTTCCAATTAGAGTCTAATTATACTATCAACTCACAATCATAGTCCTAATCTATACTGAGAGTTGACAGAGAATGATTTATTCTAGACCTGTATCTGTTAATTTTTAAAAACAATAGCTCTTAACATTAGTAACAATTTCTAACACTTAATCCAGTTTCCTTCCTTCAAAGTAAACTAAATTTCCTCTAGTTATAGCCTCACTAGAGATTGGTAAAAGAAAACATTATCTTGTATTTGAAAAATAGTGCCTAAATGAAAATACAAATAGTAGCTAGGATTTATTCAGAAGATAGCATACCACTTGTCTCCAAATATTTCCAATTCCTCAATACACAAAGTTGTTGGGGCCAGGGAGATGGTTCAGTATAAGTGCTTCCCTGGTAAGCACAAGGGCCTGAGTTCTATCCCCGGTTCCACAAAAACACAAAAAATACATGCAAAGTTGTTCCAAGGGGCTGGGGAGAGAGCTTAGCAGCATGAGCACTTGCCTGGCCAGTGCAAGATCATGAGTTTGATCCCCAGTAACCACCCCCCTAACAAAAACTGTCTGAAGGAGAATATACAAAGTTGTTCTAAGCCAATCCAAGTACTCTAGGTAAAAGTGAATAAGACATATGGAAAGAGAGGTGAAGAAGGAGGATTTACAGTCAACCCTTTTGCCTTATGAAGGCCAGATAAATTGGCCAAAACACCACCATTCATAAGCTAACAGCATGAAAGATACAAGCAAATACTACTAAAAAGCAGAAACTCTTCCAAGAAGTAAAGCATTGTAAAACATATTACCCATATATCATTGCTGCCATCCTGGCCTGGACACCTTACCTAACTGAAATTGATTGGAGGCATTTCCACATGTTTGCATTATCTCTGGGCTATTCCATCCTAAGGGATATAAGGCACAGCCTGAGCTTATCAGCAGTCCTGCAAAGAAAAGCACAGTCTCAAGTAAAAAATACATAGCAAATCTTTAGTCACCCCATTACCCAGCCTGAACTAGCTCAGCTTCAATGCTACTTCCTCCACTCAAAGTTTATAATTCTCCTTTCATTCTAAATTTCTACAATTCTGCCACTCAATCATTTTTTTGCTATGACACAGGTGATGAAATGTAGTAGATAGTAAATAACTCATTTAAAACAGCAGTAGTATTGGAAGCTGAGATAAGATTGTATACATTTTACAGTCAAAATATTTTGACAATTCATAGGGCTAAATTAGCTTCAACAGCCTTTTCTATCTTGGTCTGATTTATGGAGAATAACAATGTCAGGATCATTACACTTTCCTAAAGTCCATTTCTTCTAAGTGTCATGTAGGCAGGTCCCTACAAGCTGGAAATAGATTTTTATTTTTGTAATTTAGGGTCAGTTTCCACACTGAGATCAACATAAAACACAGGCTAAGTGAACTTGTCTTGATGAGAAGAATATATTCTCTCTTCCTCAAAATATTATTTCAGTTCTGGGAATATATCTCAGTGGCACAGTGTGAGCCTGGCAAGTGACAGGTCTTGAGCTCAATTCCCACTACCAAAAATGAAAAACAACCATTATTTTAGTTTCAAGTCAGTATCACTCCCTTCTTTGGCTTCTAATTCCTTCCACTGTGTCCCTTGCCTTTATTCCCTTTTTGTTTAATTTGTTTAACCACTACAGGGAAATTCTGTGGAACCCTCATGGTAATTTCATTCTTCCAACCAGAGAAACAAATCTGGGACCACTTGCTAATTTCTAAGGACAACGTACCTCACACATAGCTCTCTTGTATGGGTTAAATTTTTACATCATATACTCAATGAACCTATCTCATCTTTAGCCATAGCAAATTGGACCAAGTGCAGGTATCTGACAAAAGAGTGTAACCAAATTCATTGACTGCTCAGTATGGTTGATATTGTAGATTAGGATAAAGAAATGGGCTAGAACACATCCTTATTTCTGAAAAAAAATCTGTATTCAGGGCAGGGTCTGCAGCGTCTACAGGGTCTTACTAAGTAGATCGAACTTGTAGTGATCTGGCAGTGTTCAGCCTCCCAAATGCTGGGATTACAGGTAGGTGCCACCACGCCCAGTCTCAATCACTGCCTCAGCACGCCCTGGGATGGGGCCAGCACAGCAGGCTGGGGTTCGAACCCAGCCATTGCACTCTGCCTAAGCAGGCACTTTGGTCTGCAGAGTATTCAGGCCTGCTCTTATTTCTGAAAATTTTAATCCAGGGACATAGAGGTGCTGAGATATATAATTAGACCTCTGGGGTTTCTTACTCTTTTTAAATAAGGACATAATATGAATCAGGAATCCATTTTTATGAATTTGTTTAACTTTATCAGCTCCTCGAGGCCAGGGAGATGGCTCAGTGGAATAAACACTTGCCTGGCAAGCGCAAGGGCCTAAGTTCAATCCCAGGTACCACCAAAAACAAACAAACAAACAAACAAACAAACAAACAAACTCTTATCAGCTCCTTAAAACCCTGGCTCCATTATGATCATGTGGAAGAGTACAGGGGTTGTGTTAGCGCTTCAACATAGAGCTATGAGGTTCAGAGGGACACAATCTAGTCCACAGTAGTTATAAATACTTCATATTGTGAGAGGTTTGTTTCCCACAATTTAATGAATACAAAGTTACCAAAAAAGATGATACAGAAATTGGAACAAATAAAAAACAGCAGGAGGTAGAATCAATTCTGTGTCAGGCTAAAGCCAACCTCAAAGTTATTACTGGATATCAGATGTTTATAAGCTAATCAAACTGATTGATAGAAGGAAAGACAACAACAAAAAAGGTAACAAAGCAGACATAAGAAAATAAAAGGAAAACTACCGTTCATGAAAGAGCTAAAGAGAAGCTAGTCCCTCATGATGGATTACAATTACAATTTTATTTTAGTTGTGATAAACTAAGTGAATGTCAGTTATTTGCAACAGTCTAACTGTAAAAAGGAATTAAATAGTATCTACAATTAAATGACAAAGCTGATGCAATAAAACAGAATTTGTGGTACCCAATGAAAGCAGTCCTAAGAGGGAAATATATAGCAGTGAATTCTCACACCAGTAAAACAGAACAAGGTCAAGTAAATGATCTAATATTGAACTTCAAATTTCTAGAAAGAACAGGCAATCTCATTGGGACTGCTCATATCTCTTCAGAGCCATGGCTATTCCTCATTCCATTTAGTCCAACAAATTTTCCTACTCTTAACTTGTGTTGTTTTTTAGAATACATTCTTTGACTTTGGAGAACACAAACACAGCATATCTGACATCTAGCATTTCTCCCTATGTGACTGACCAGACTGGTGAATAAGGTGAATGAGGAAACACTGTTGTTTTTTTGAGCCTGGCTTTTCACTGGGTGACACTCAGAAGCAGCATGTGTCGTATAGTAATGGCCTGACTTATGAACACCCAGATTGTAAACTTTCATAGATAAAAAGAACCTCACATTACAACATTTGTAGATGAAAACAAATTGCAGAAGTAACAGTGTAGCTGCACTGTAGTCTACCACAATTTTAAGGTAACTTTAAAAATAAAAGTAGTTGACTTACAGTATTCGTGTATGTGTGTTACAGTTGAATAGACCAAAAATAGTCTAGGTTCTTATGGACAGCAAGGAAAGACTTACCAAGTGTACACCTTATAGTATGTACTAAATAGCTACATTTATTGAAGATCATAAGATGATAGCAACAAGAATAGGGGGAAAAGGTGAAGCAAAAATAGAAGGCTTGATAAATCAGGCTTCCAGTATTGAAAGTAAACTCTGATCCCAGGGTCTTGCTCCCACTGCTTCTCTCACTCATGTAGGTCATCTGCTACTTCTAGCATTAGACCTCCTAAGTTTAAGCCTAGAAAATTATTAAGTGGTGTGCATTTATGTTTGAAGGAAGAGAGAAGTGGCTTCTTCTTTTGCACATGGATAATCATTAGGGTGGTGTGGGAGAGAGAAGGGAGTGACTCATTCAGCTCCTTTGTTTTTAACTCTATTATGTGTGTTTCTTTATTTCTATGCTTCACATTGTATAGCTGTGTTAAAAGTGTGTCAGATATGCTTTGTCCACCTTACAAATGAATCTCATATATGAATGTTCTCCCAGAATGGGATTAGCTCATAAGTCAGGGCCTTACTCCATTTTAATTACATCAAGCAATGATATTCAATATAAACTTCCAGGAATATATTGAAAGCCACAAGAACAATGGGATGAACATATTGAAAGCAAGGCAGAAAAAAATTTAAAAAAAAGAAAGTAATGTAGAAGGATTTTAAAGGGGTGGAGTAATGTCAATATGAGTTTCACTGTAATAAATTTTTAAATCAAAAAAATTTTGATCATACTCTGCTAGATAGTCAAATGATGCATTTGGAAACATTAATAAATGAGTGTTAGGGAAATGTAAATTTCACTGAAAAATAATCAAAAAGTAAATCACAAAATTTCAAATTTTAAGAAAATATATGGGGAAAAATAGAAAATGAAGAAGTTTAGCCCAGAGCTCATATGAGGGAAAAAATTATAAAGCTCACAGCAGAAATTAATACAATGAAGACCATAATAACAATATAAAGAATCAATATAAAAAAGAATTGGTTCTTTGAAAGATTAAGTAAAATTAACAAATCTTTAGCCAAACTTATCGAATAGACTCAAATTCATAAAACTGTGAATGAAAATGATGAAAGCAAAACTGATCCTGTAGAAATAACCAGGATTGTTAATACCTATTTTGAGAAATTTATTAAGATGGAAAACACAGAAGAAATGAATAGATTCCTCTATTCATATGAAAAAATGCTCCATATCACTAGTCATCCACAAAATGCAAATTAAAACAACATTGAGATATTGTCTCACCCCAGAAAGAATGGCTATCATAACGAAATCACCCAACAACAAATGTTG